CTTGATTCACCGGTTGAGATCTTCGGTCAGTTTTTATCTGTTGAAGATTATTTTCGGAATGAAAGAGATCCTTAGATGCTGAAGCTCGTCTTTTATTCTTCTCTTCGATATAATTTTTCCAATTAAAATTCTGCCGAGACGCTGCCACAGGTTGGAAATTATTTTTAGCCGGATCAAGAGACTCTTCCCCCGGGGTATTTGCACATTTTTTTGAATTATTCTTACTGTCACCCATTGTTTTCTCCGTTATTGGTGTCAATGATGGACCCTCCTCAGACTCATTTTCCTCCTCCGAATCATAATTTTTATTGTCCGAATCATCATCCTCGTTATCGTACATATCCAGCATATCTTTGATCCTTATGGGCTGGAGAATAATGTGCTTTTTATGAGATTCTGAGCTATCACTGAGACTGTCTCTTGGATTCAAGCAATTTTCACTCATCTCCTCACTCATTTTCACGTACTCGTAATTCAGAATAAATATTAATATTGAAATAACGATAGAAAAGCTCAACTTTTCCTAGTCTTTCGATTGATCAATCATTCACAAAATAGAGTACATCACAATTGCATTCACTGAGCTACAATGTCTCTCCCACCTGTCATATTCCAACCTCACTTACTTTACCGCCAACTCGATTTTATGTTTATTCACCTCTCCCGAGCAAATCCAATGTCCCAGATGTTCACAGGTTGGATCATAAGCCGTAGATTCACAAGAGTCCGTGATTATCGAAATTAAAATAATGGAAACACTTAATTTTACCGTCGATTACTGAATAATTATTTTTGATATTATACATGTATATATGTACACAATTACCCAGCTGTACCCGTCGTTTCTCCATTGTGTCGCGAATAAATTCAAATATCAACGGTAAGTTATGATTGGATCCCAGAAATCCACTGAACAGTGGAGGGGCTAGCCAATGAGGACTAGCCTTTATGTATTTTCTAACTATTTTCTCCTTGTCCTCCTAGATGACGCGACGATATCCAATTTTTCGATTTATTCGAATTCAAAAGAGGTTTTGTTAATAATCGGTCAAGATTCACTTGTCGTAAGTCCATCTGGATGATTCCCATTTTATTTTTTCATGTCTAGTGGAGTCGGCTCCATTATTATCATTGAAAGCTCATATTGTTCATTGTTTTTACGGTTTTTATGGTTTCTATTCATCCAGAGATATCTTATCTTGAGAACCTGGTAAATCGTGAAACCGCCTACTGTTGTGAATTCGTAAAGTGCATTGTGTATGTAATCAAACAGTTGAAAAAATAACGAAGAAAAAAATCTATATTATACCTTGAGGGATGTGTGTTCTCCCTTCCTTCGCTTTCTATTTATTTAAATTCGAGGGAAAAATAATTTCAGTGATAAGTGAGATTAAATGGAAAAGCAAGATGAGAGTAAAATAAACCACGAAAACGTGCATACGAATTATTTCGACATCCATCGACTACCAATTGTGAAAAACTAAAAATTCTAAGCGGAACTAATTATTCTCATTTTTGTAATAGAAATAATCATATTCCACACTCTACTCCAAAAAAAAAATGGGCTCTTCCCTCGATTACACTTACACCCACCGGAGCCATTCCATTCCATCCCATCCACTGAGATTTCTTGGACGAAAGTTTTCCAAGAACAACTGATGCGTTCCTAGCACGCACCTGGAGAATAGTACAACACCTATGGACGAGCTGCAGCAGTGTTAGTGTTGGTACTGTAACGTCACCTGAGGTAGATGCCTGAAGAGGGATAGAAGATACTACAATACATACCTGTGCATTGTTCCCCTCAAAAAAAGAAGCTGATAAAAAAATTAACGATTAAATGAACCTGGCACAGGTAAAATGCGCGGATTCTCTCGTAACTAGGAAATAGGTAAATGCCTGGCAAAATAAATAATTTACAGAGAAGGTAAAAAGAGGTGGAATAACCGTTGGAGTGGGGGGACAAAGGTACATTACTGCCTGCCACCACCACCACCGCCACCAAGCGTTCTCCAGGGGACGAGGGAACAGTTCCGCAGTTTTCTCTATATGTGCAAGCGGTGCGGGTGTACACCAAATTTAACCAGAGGAAGAGAAAAAAAAAAGTACCAGACCTGGAATATATAATCAAATGTGAACATTAGATAAAGTGTTGTGAATGAGAGTGAGATGTAATAAACTTTACCTGTCTGAGGGATTTTTCCCATAATCTTGAGGGAGAGAACTTCATAAGGAGAAAAATTCAATGCTATTTAGCGGAATTGAAGTACAAACCAATCGAGAAATGCGGCGGCTCCTCTGCATTGTCGCAGGTGAGTAACATCTGAAATCTCCTGAAAACTACAGTTTCTGCTGATTCCGGGAGCGCTATGCTGACTCAAAAAAATTACCAGTGGTAAATTAATTCGAGTTAATTAACTTGGAGTACTTGAAGACACGAGTTTAGTACTGCATTTGCATTTTTGATGTGTAGATTTTCTTGTTGTTATGGATTTACCTGGTGAAATGATTTTTCCATGAGGGTGTGTGCCGTAATCTCGATAAATCTCAACATGTACACAACACGCAGAGCGCTCCGGCTTCTGGATCATTGATCCACTTGTATCGATATATTTTCGATATCACATGTCTCTTTTATCGAATCCCTAGTACACCTGAGATTAAAAAAATCTTGATTGTGGGAAATAATAATGGCATGTCATTGGGTGGAATCGTGGAATGAGTCATGGAATATGTATGTAGTTGGAGTATTCTTTTTTTTTTTCCTGAGTTTTACGATGCGTGACAGGTGAAACGTTTGGGGATCCCTCAGTTCACCTGATTCTCTACCTGAGGTGAAATAGTGGAAATAGTGGAGGGTGCAGGGAGAAAATCCCTGGCGGCATTGTTATTCTTCTTCGACTTCTCTTTTGAATTTTTTACCTTTTTCGTCGTTATTATTGCTGGATACGTTCTGGTTGTATCAATCTACTGTGTGTATATCGATCTGTCGGCTATTCCGTGCATGGCATCGCATTTCGCCGAGTTTTAAGTACTCCAGTTTACCCTAACGTACATTGAACTCTTAAGAAATTTCTGGTGGATCAAAATTCAAACTGATACATTTTTTTT